GGTTTGTATTCCGAGGGCCTTCGTACTGACTCTTGTCCCTCGAGAGCGGAAATTAGACTTTGTAAAAGCGAGATAACGGGTTGGTTGGCAGTTTTGGCTCCGGCAACCGGAATTTCTTCCTCTGGGAGCAAACTCTTAGTTTCTTCTAGTAAGTTTAAAGTTGCGAGCAACTTGGCTTCTTCCGCTTTGTTAGCCAGAGTTTTTTGGATTTTATCAAAAACTAGTTGCTGAGCGGAGAAATCCATTAATTCTTGCCTCTTGATGAAATCGTCTAATCGTTGGTTAGTTCGTTGCACTTCTTCCCGGGCTTGTTGGATAGCTTGTTGATTTTGTTGCACTTGCTTTTCTAATTTTGCCACTTTATCCTGAGTTTTGGCCATCTGTGCGGCTAACGCCTCTACTCTTTGGCTAGTTTGCTGAGCTAATTGTAAAGCTTGCTCAGTTTTTCCTTCTAGCTGGTCCATTCGTTGATTAACTTCCTGCTTAATGTTTTCCATCTCCTGAGCGAAAGAGTTTAAGCGTTGTTCGTGTCAACGCAGAATTTCAGCGTGTTGGTTCAACTCGTTCCTTACTTCCTTTTGTTCGTCTTTTACCCGGTCTAGTTCTTGATTAAACTCAGCCAACTTGGCCTCGGTGGCTTGGATTTGACCTTGCGTTGTTCGGTTAATATTTTGCTGAGCTGCTTCGAGTTTCTGAATGGCTGCTTCTAAAAGTTTTTTTTGTTCCTCAACCAACTGCTTTTTGGTTTCAGCTTGGAGTTGGGTGATTTTGGCTTCTTGTTGGCGAATTTCATCGACCAAACGAGTTTCTAAACGACTTTCTTGGCTCTTGAGTTGATTTGCTAAATCTTCCTTTTGCCTTTCCAGTTCAGCCCGCAACTGGTGGATATTTTCCGTGAGTTCTTGACTTTTAGATTCGATTTCGCCTTGGGCTTGGGCTAAACCGTCTTTCAGATTACCGACACTAGTAGACAAATTTCCTAAACTGATATCGGCAGCTAAATCTTTAACCATACCAACCCCTTTTGCCAAGCCGCCCGCCGTTTTACCCACCGCAGTCGCAAACTTTTTGCCTGCTTTAAGCAAAAGTTTACTCCCAGGAAGAAATTCAGATGCTAAATCTAGTGTAGTTTCTATAGCTCCTGAAATAAAACTTCAAAATCCCATATTACAAAGATTTTTTAAACTGGAGGTTTCCTAACCAAAAGAATTAGCCGCAAAAGATCGTTTAGAAAAAATTCAGAAGCCAAGTTAGTTTTTACCTTTATCCTCGGGAAGGTTAATTAAGGCAATTTCTTCCGGTTTGAAGGAAATTCTAATAATTATTCAACGAAGTATAAAATTAGAAAATAACCACAAAGATAATCCAGCCGCTATACACATAGCAAAAAATGATGCAGCATGTTCATTAACGGGATCTTTAAATAAAGAACTGCTTGAATTTGCTCGGTCGGGCAACACCTTGCCCAGCAGACTCTTGTCTATTTTCGTTCCCACCTCGGTAATTATTGCTACTTTTTGAATGTTCTCCGCAAAAGGAAATTTTAATAATCGGCCGAAATCAAAAATACTTACTCCTAGTAAAATTCAGACCAGAGAAATAGCAGGCAAAATAGCTAAAAAAAGAGCTAACCACATTAATTTATCGGCTTTGTTCTGAATAGCATTCTTTTTGGCTATTTTCTCTTCTTCTTCTTCTCTTTTCCACCGGTCGTATTCCTCAAACGACTTAATGTTTTCTAACGACTTTTCTTCTCTCTCTCTCTCTCTCTCTCTCTCTTGTGGGTACTTTTTTGAACCGTGTCATTTAGTTATTATTTAACCAAAGAAAGGGGTGTGAAATTAGGTGTGAAAAAGGAAGGTGTAAAATAAGATAATAGTTCACACCCATGCCATTACCATATAGCAAAAGAAAAGGCTATTATCAAGACCGTTATAAAAAGAAGAAGGAGCAAACGGGTGTAAAAAGTTCACCCCCGGATTTCACACCTCAGAAGTTCACCCCGCCAACCGTAACTAAGATTGACCAACAACTTGCCAAGGTTATCACCGCTGCCCTCCAACAAATTAACCAAGCCAATACCCTTTTCCGGCAAGAAATTCGGGAACATTTGCTCCAACAAGCCAGTAGTAATGCCGAAGTCTTAAAAATCGTTAATCAGTTAGGTGAAAAAGTTAATAAGTTACGGCAAAAACCCCAAACTAGCCAACAGCTTGGGCAAACCAAATTCGGAATATCCTGGAAACTATCACCAGGCGGAAAAAAACTGTTAGCCGCCGCTATTAAGCAATTAGAAATCGAGACCGGAATTTCCAAGGGTGATCCGCGGTGAGAAAACCAGGTGCGGCGGAAAGCTTTGAATAGTTTACCAGAGATTAAAGCCAAGCAACGGCTCCGGAATAAAAAGCGGTGAGAAGAAATCAAAAACTTATTAGCTTGAGTTGATAATTTGTAAAATTAATAGTATGCAATACAAATATATAGTTCTGGGGGTAATTACTTCCTTAGTCGGTGGTTATGTTTACGAGGCTGCTTTTAAGTCTAAGGAAAAAAAGTCTGAGAGCGAAATTATTTTTGATAATGAAAACGAATTAGAGTAATTATGGTATTATCGGTTTATGATTTGGCAGTTATCTTTCTCCTCTGCTTTCTGGCTAACTTATTAGCCTTAGTGCTAGTAGTTGTTATAGTTGTTGGTTGGGGAAAAAAGTATCTCGATAAGCAAAAAGATTCCTGGGGTCCGTTGGCGGGAATATTAGGTGGTATGGGTGGATTGCAGTACTAAAACATTATTATGGTGAAGAAAAACAAAAAAATCGCTAAGAAATTGTTTCGCAATTCTGCTCGTTCTCTAGTTAAAACCGAGCCTAAGTCCAAGAGTTTAAAGAGTTTAAAAAGAAACGCCTCGGCTTATTATCATTGCTTAGCTGATTGTTGTAGCAAGGGAGAGTGTGGCAATATAACTAAATGCACGCATCATTGCAAGACCAAAGCTCCGGCTCTAGCCGTGCAACGAGCCCAAGAAGTTAAAAAATTCACGGATGCTTATATTCAAATGGGTGAGAGTGCTAAAAACTTGTTTGGTTTCTTCTTCGGTAATAATGGCAAAGGCAAAACTAAAAGTTTGCGATAAACAACTAAATTCTCTACTCAGAAAATTGCCTTTTTTCTCGGCCAACTCCTTTATTCTTGCCTTACTTTTTTTCTCACTCGATAATTTTACCTAAATTATAAAGTCCTTACGTTGGCCTTATAGAAAAACCTTAAAAAGTTAAGACCAAAAGTATAAGAAAAAGTATAAATTATAAATAGTTTTAGTGGTTAAACTAAAAAGCCTTTTCTTTGCAAATTAGTTAACAAAAACCGAGCATCTTTTTTTAAGTAGAGTTCGGTAGTGCGAAAGTTAGAGTGTCCGAGTAATTGCTGAATGCTGGCGGCATCTAAACCCGCATCATAATGCAGAATAGAAGCAAAAGAGCGACGCAGAGTGTGGGGAGTAATGGTTCAGTTGAGATTTAGTTCTTGAGATCTTTTGGCTAAATATTTTCAAATGGCTATTCGCGAAACAGTTTTTCATTTATCCTGGCTAATATCTGATTTGGCTTTTTTGGTAAGGTAAGCATTATCAAGCAAATTGAAGACCAATCTTTGTTTATTACCCTTACCCCAAACTAAAAAAGCGGTCTTGTTTTCGACCGGAATTTGTTGTCAAGAGAAATTAATGGCTTCGGAAACTCGCAAGCCCAAGAAAGACATTAGCAAAACACATTCTAACAGTTTATCGTGGCGTAAGGGCAAATGAATGTGGGAAGGTGTTTCGCAAAGAGCGGTTAATTCGTTTAAAGTTAAGACGTGCTCGCTTTGTTTTTTCATTACTTTTTAGCAACTTTCCGGCGTTCTCGGACTTCTTCACACTCATTCTCCTCACTAAAAAGGCAAACGGAATTCTTGATAAGTGGAAAAGGTTCTTTGCTGCTGGGCCGATAAACATTGTGGTTAGGGTCAAAAAGCAAGGATTGAAAAATATTAGTAGCCCCTCAATATTTAGCCTTGGCTAACACTCCAAATAAGCGAGGCTCTTCGCTAAAAGGAATTTGCCAAACTGTTTTTCTTTTCAAAATTTCTATATCTTTCGTTTTCCAGCCCAACAACTTCCCCACCCTTTCTTTCATGTATTCAGATTTGACTTCGTGACAGTTGTCTAATT